GTTGTTGAAGGCGGTGTTGACATTTATAGGTATACCGGATACGCACACCTTTTTTTTTTTTTTTTTTTTTTTTTTTTTTCGCCGTTTCGCAGGATGAACACTCAGACGTAGGAAGACGCATCCAGGCCAGGAACCTCTCCGAATTTATATCATCTATATTTCCATCATCATTTGGAAGCGCCTTTTCTGATGATGACGATTTGCTCCGAGAAGATGATTTTAGGTCAGGTGAGGAAGGCGATAGGCGTGATGACAATAGTAGGAGGAGTTGTGATAGCGATTGTATAGGTAGGGAGTCCTGTACCAGAGGTAACTGTCTCCGAGGCGAGTTGCCCACCAATGGTATTTCGACGGACGACAGGTCCGATGATTTTAGGTCGTGCACGGAGAGTGTGTCCTGTGGGTGCACTTCGTGCAAAGGACTTAGGGGCAGTTCTGGGGATATGACAGATGATCTTGTGGGTCATATTGCAGATCATTCGTTGGACAATCGTGCGAATGACCGAACTGAGGACACTGTGGAAGGCGCAGTGCGGGGAACTCTAGGTGACGACATTGAAAGAAGGCTGAACGATCGTGCAGACGTAAGGTTCGAAAAGTCATTGGAAGAAACGTTGGATGATGATGATGTGGAAGAGCGTGCAGATCGCTCTTTGAATGATAGAATGGAAGATGCAGTGAAGAACACGTTAGACGGCACTGTAGAGAATGTGTTGGGTGACAATGCGGAAGACAACATGCTGAACCCAGATGAAGACCTCATGGATGATGATTCTTTCGACCTTGGGGATGATCCATCGGATGATTTATTAATTGATTTAAAATTTGCAGACCCATATGATTTAGATGCAAGTATGAATGAACCATATGACAGCGCTAGTGACAAGGTTAGTGAAGATGCAGCAGAATGTGATTGTGTAGAAAACAGTTTTTGCCCTTTTAACAATACCAGTTCTTATGATGGTAAGATCTCAGATTTATCTGAAGTGTTATCTGAGGAACAGCTAGATGAGAAGGTGTTCAATTTGGGTTCTGTTGTAGATGTAAAGGATATGTACACCATATGGAATTATGTAAATGATAATGAGAAGAGAAAGTTTTATAGCATGAGGACGATATTGCTGACTTACTGCGATTGCCTAGCTGATGCCTGTGGTATCCCTTTTGAAATTAAAAAACAGGAATGGCTAAGGATCCACCGATTTATGAATAGAGTATTTTTACGATATGAAAAAAGATTCGCGAAATATACCCACTCGTTTTTGAAGCGTGGAAGAACCGAGAGATGCAGATTTGTTGACTTTTTAAGTAATTATAAAGCCAAGTGCAACAAGTTCAGAAACATTATGTACAACTACTGGAAGAGCAACATCTTCACCAGGATGGAAGCATACCAACGCTTCTTAGATGGCGTGAGCTCAAGAGATACAATGGAGAATTTATAAATAGGCATGTTAATTTACTAGTGGAGTCGCTTCCTTTTTGCGAGGACCATTGTGTTGTATGGTGTGTGTATCATCTTATGTGAGAACAAGCATAGTACTTTCTATATATATATATGTATATGTGTGTGAATAGGCACCACACTCGTTTTAACTCTTTCGTAAAAAAAAAAAAAATGAACTGGAGAGTTGTTTGAGTAGTTCCCTGGACTCATCGTTACGAGAGGAAATGTTATTATGCGCACTGGCACAGGTTGGCTGAGCTACAGTGTGAAGTTACGGGGTGAGTATGTGCCTACCTCCGTGATTATGCACCTGTGTATGGACAGTGGATGACGAGTGGCAAGACCACATTCTAATCATCACTCCCCGCGAATGATTCTGTGATTTGTTCTATATATCGTATACTTTTATGTTGCATTCGTTTTGACCTTTCTCATACATGCGGTAGATGACTTGGTGGTGAGAGCCATTTCGAACAGACACACACCCCCCCCTTGCTTAAGTCAGTGATGATTTAGTCCCTTTCGGGGGATCAGCACCTGTATCAGCTGCAATTACAAAGCGAGAGCACATATTTTTGTGCAGCTGTTATTACGATGTGATTACAGTTTCGCATATTTATTTCACTCCTCGTTCATATATCCGCTTTTATACCCGCATGTATATGTGTGCATATGTATATATAGATGTTTCTTTTTTCTTTTTCTTTTTCTTTTTTTTTTTTTTTCTATTATATATATAGCATTTTTTTTTTTTGAGAGAGAAATTCAAGGGCAATTCTTTACACCCCATTTTTTTTTTTTTTTTTTTTTTTGAGCAACTTTAGAAATATTTTATTCTTATGGGATGTTACATTACACCTGCACGTGACACGAGCCTAGCTGCTTTTACACGGTTAGTAGAAATAGGTTCCGTGTTTTGGGGTAGCTAATACCCTTCCTTATGGTTTTCAAAACCTTTCTTGTGACGTGTGCTTGGGGTAACGTTGTCGTTCTACACCGTGTTACAGTTTTTCCAGACGGAAAAAAAAAAAAAAAAATGGTTATTTGATTAGGATGTATTTGTTGCCCCATTTTGAGCAACGTCTGGTACGTAGAATGACGGAAATGAAGAAGGCGCGCTGAAGGGTCCCCAACGAATTACACAAGTGATGCCTTCACCTGTACGTAGAAATGGTCGATCAGAATTGTAGAGTTACATTTGGATAAGGGGGGTTTCGTAAAGCGACTAGTCGAGTCAACATATTAGTTGTTGGAATAATTTTTTTTTTCTTTCTTTTTTTACAACCCTACCGATTTGTAGATTAGGTAAATTGTACCCGCATTGTGGTGAAACTGCGCTTAGAAATACACACTGCTATATGTGTCATTTGGGTGGCATAGAACGATATGCAAATAAGGAACAATTAATGATGCGGTTGTACGTAAGAGTGAACTAATCTTCCGATGAATGCATACGCGGGAAGTCCTGCTTACACGCACAGTTGTTATTGCATATTTTTTTTTTATTAATTTTTTTTTTTTTTTTGTTCATTAGCTTTCCTCTTGGCAGTTTTATCGTGAAAGGGCAAAAGTTGTCGAATACTTTTGTGGGGGGATTGAACTGCTATTCTGTTCTATGCTGCGGGGCTAAACTGGTTTGTTCTGCCCTATTATATGTGTTGCTTGTTTTTATTTGGTTGTACTGTGTTGCTTTTTATTGTGTGTGTGTGTGTGTTTTTTTTTTATATATTTAAAAAAAGGAGCCTCTCGCAATAGAAAAATAGAAACATAGATTCTCTTTTTGTGAAAAAAAAAAAAAAAAAAAAAAAAAAACTATTAGGGATTTTTCTAGTTTTTTGTTCCATATTTTGCGGTGACGCGTTGTTGCAGGTGTTTTGGCATTTTGCTTCTTAGGAAGGGTCTTATCCGTTGTCGCACCTCTCGTCGGATATATTTTTGGGGCGAATTTTTATTCGCAGGGGCGTAAATTTGGCCCCTTTTTGGTGTGCTGTTGTATTGCCAGGTGGGTTACTCTTTAACGGTGTGCACGCGTGCGAGCTATTATGGGAGGAGCAAGCGTCACTCGCGTGTGTACATATGCGCATGTGGGTTGCTACCTGCCCGAGGTGCAGCCCTGGGCAACACCCCTTTTTACCTTTTTTCCTTTGTTCAGGATTTCATTATGGAAACATGCCATGGACTGATTTGCCTGAGCGCTAAAAATTTCCGGGGGTGGAATTGGAAGAGTGGAGAAGCCCGTTTTGTCACTTTTCCAGGAAAGGACAAAAAGGCCGCTACAGGTGGTTTTAGACTTTTCAGGGTGATTAATGCTTTCGTTTTGCTTCTTCTGTTATGTGTGCCTCTGGTAGGTGAACTTGGTGTAGCACCTTTACGGTGTGCCGCTCCTACCGTGTGGCGATTTCTTTTGTTTTTCTATTCCCCGCTTATCGTGAACATAATAAATAGCTTAGAGCGCAGTCGGGGAGCTGTTCACATTTTCGTAATTTCAAACCACATTGCAGACGAAGCTGATGAACGAAGAAGGCCACAGGAGGGGGAGAGGAATGGGCAGGGTTCTTGGTGAGGTCTATACAATGCAGGAAAGGGTACGGTCCAAGGTAAATATGGAAGAAATGGAAAACGAACGAGCGTGGGAAGAGTCTAATTACATGTCTAGCGAATGGGATGATATGGATGAACGTTTTAACCAAATGTGGATGAGGGAAAAGTGGATGAGCAGAGGGAAATACAGACCTAGAAGTTCGTATGATATATGCCCTTATGGTTGCACAGATGCTGATTTGATCGAGGAACTGTCCGAGGACGACATCAATAAGCGGCTTGAAGGGTTAGGGAGTCAAGTTAGCGTTAGGGATATGTTTATTCTATGGAGTAATGTACATAGGCTTGAGAGGAAGAAGTATATTAAGATGCAAGAAAGAGCAAAGTTATTTTGCGATGATTTAGTTAGAGGATTTCATATTCCAGAGGAGGTCAGGATGGAAGTTTGGATGAGGGTGCATAGATGTATGACTTCTCTTTTTCTTCGCTTTGAGAAAAGGCACCATAAGCATTTTTACATGTTTTTGAACCGAGGTCCATCTGCTAGGATTAGATTCCTTAGCTATATAAATAGAACCCGGAATGTGTGGAACATGCGCAGGCTGAAAATAGACAATTATTGGCGCAAAAAGATGGTTAAGGTTTTTCTGCGGTACAAGAACAGGTTCTTAAATGGGGCATACTCCGGCACGGCGGCACCTGGCGCGGGTGTTAGGAGGTACGGCAGAGTGGGTTATGGGGAGTATGATAGTACGGGTAGCAGCGAAGAAGACATAAGTTATGCAGACCGGTACGACAGCAGTAATGTAATAGTGGGCGATAGAAGGGACAGCACCATGTATGGTAGTGCAGACAGCAATTTGTACGCAAGTGGCGATAGCGTCATGTGTGAGAGAGGAAATGAATGTTTGGGGGAGAGTAGAATTGATAGCTTGTTTGACAGCACCTATAGTGGCCTTGATGCGAGTAGAATTGGCGGTTTGTTTGACAGCACCTATAGTGGTGTTGATGCGAGTACAACTGATAGCTTGTTTAACAGTACGCAGAGTGGCCTCAGTGGGAGTAGAATTGACGCTTCGTATGACAGTACGCAGAGTGGCCTTGATGCGAGTAAAATTGACGCTTCGTATGAACGCATACACGGAGCGACGGAACAATCACACGGTCAAGACAACGGGTAGAAAGGACTCACCAGACATATGTACAGTTGTATACACATATCTGAATGGTGGAGCGTTTTTCATAAGAAGATCACGAGAAAATGTAAACGGGGGGGAAAAAAAGGATAAAATGATTTATGGGCGAGAGGGTTCCTCCTGAGGAGGCATTATTCATTAAGCCTGGGGTTATCCTTTACCCCTTGCCCTTTTCATTTAGTTTTTCATCACATTAGAGAAAAAAGGGTCGTATTTAAGAAGGCACATGCTCGAGTGCTTCTTTACTCATTTGTTAATTGCTTTTTCAAATGAAATTTCCACTTGAAAGCAGATTAACATTCCTCAGTCAACGGCGCCTTTTCCGTTATTCGATGCAACGAAGTGGAGCCAAGAGGTGAACCGATAATTTTTTGCAGGTACAGCGGAGAAAATTTTCAGCAGTTTTCTAGAAGAGGGTCAGAGTGTGAAATTGCGAATGGGAAATATTTTTAAACTCTCAGTGTGCTTCCCACTTTAGGAGAGGGCAAAGAATATTCTAGTGCCTTTCCCCCTGGTGACAAGACGCTTTTGCTGTTGTACATGCTTATAAGGTCATCCGTTATATTTGAGCATCTGAAGGTTTTTGTTAATGAAACAAGAGGTCATATGTTGATATAGAAGCTTAAATTGGAATAGAGATGAATTCAAAACGTTAACAAACGTGTGGTATAGGGGAAGGTGTTTAATTTTTGTGTGGCTTGGTTGGGGTGTCCTCCTCATTCTTATACATCCGTTGCGTGGTGTTTTTCTGTTTTTTTTTTTTTTTTAGCTAATTGATCTAGTCCTTTTCGTGTTGTTCGTACACACATTGGATGTAAAAGAATGAAAGTTGAAGTAATTCATTTTGAATTGTATCCATGTGTGGACTTGTCCACGTTCCCCAGTGATAGCCCGCGTCCTTTTTGCCTTTCCCAGGAGGTCAGTACAGAAATGTGCGAATAGACCGGGCGGAGGAAGGCAGGTTTACATGAATTGTCAGCTACATTGGGTAGTGGAAAAATATTCACTTTAGTTATTGATGTTGTAGTTTAATGGCTATGTTTTAATTTTTTTTTTTTTTTTTTTTTTTTTGAAAACTGAACAGCTGGGTATGCAGTTAAATTGGCTATATTTTGTAGGCCGTGCACTGGAGATGTTGTGTGCGTTATTTGGCTCTGCTGGGTGATTGGCCGAAGAGCCGCAATGTGCCTTTGCACTCAGCGGTGCATGTTCTATGTAGGAGCAAGCATACATGTGTATACAACACATGCGTCTTGGCACCCTTGGGAGGGGATAATCATACGCGCAAATGTGAGCAGTATGTGTGTGGCGCATTTTGAGGGGGGGAAGCGGACAAACATATAGGCACGATCGTGTGCGTGTAGTATGTTCAGAGAAATTTGCCAAAACGTTGGAAGGCATGCGGGGGGAAGCTGCCTAAACAAGGGTTCATGCATACGTACACACCACGGCGCGTTAGATTGAATACATAACGAACGATTCATATGAACATGTCAGCAAGTACACCGAGAGTGCGCCAAAACGATAGAGCGGATGGTTTTCTGAACCCGCTCGCAAAGTATACAACAAGGGGAAGTTAGCGTAGGCATTTTAGTGACAAATTAAATACTGCTGAAGGTGGTAAAGGGAAGGGGGGCACGTAGTAGGCAGCGGGAGTCATACAAATACACCCCATTTTGATTAAGTCAACGGAAAAAGTAAAAAGTACGTTAAGGCAGAGTGATGGGTACGGGTGGGGTAAGAATCTTTGGAAGAGTTCAACTCTCTTAATTGGTTAAGTGGCACATACGAAAAGATATATAAACAGTAGAACAAAATATATACATGTTCATGCTTACTTTATATGTGCGTGTTGGATGGGGCTAATGTTCTGCAACATGCATTAAGGAGGTCATTACACGGGTTACTATTTTTTTTGTGAAAGTTTCTCCTTTTTGAAATTCTCGGTTGCACGGTATTGGTGGCGCACACCGATTAAAGCGACAACGTTTAACGATTTGTGTCGTGCAGTCATAATATAAGGAAGAAACAAAAATAAAAAAAAAAGGTTCATGTTACAGAAGCGTTAGAATTACAACAGCACATGCAACCACATTAGGGACGTATCGATATGGCGATGTTATGTTTTTATTTATTATTATTTTGTTTTCAAAATAAAGGATAAAATGTGCGATAATCATGAGTGATGAATAAAATTTTTTTTTTTTTTTTTTTTTTTTCTTTTTTATATATGCGTGTGTAATGCTCTAGCGGAAGGTTGCCAAACCACAGAATAAACAAGGCAGGACGGACGAGCAAGAATATATAATATAGCTTTTGCCCAGATTAGAACAAAAAGGCTGAGTTAACAGTGTTGTAAAACACCACATAGAGGGCCAAATAATAACTTAAGGCGAAGCAATACACTGCAAGGCCACACTTGACACAGACATGTGAAGAATGCAATTTACGGCAGTGACAGTGAAGCACAGAACAATATAAAAAAAAGGAAGAGAAGAAAATAAGAAGAACCTCCCCCCTGCCCCGAGTTTCAAATCATCGCTGTTTTCACGCGTTATGTATTTGTTCTTTCTTTTCTTTTTTTTTTTTGTGTAAATCTGTTAAGTGTTCTACCCCCGTTTAACTTAGTGCAGCGTTCATCTGCCTGTTTTTTTTTTGTTGTCGCTGTGGCAATGCCACAGGGCAGTTATGCATATTTGTAAAGTTGTATACATATATAAGTATACACAGCTGTGACGACGTGGTTGTCATAAGCGGAGTGCTGCTTTGCCTCGTTTCTGTTACGCGTGTTTGCTTTTTTTTTTTTTTTTTTTTTTTTTTTTTTTTT